TAATTTTGTTAAGATAAAAATTCATCGTAACAAAGGCCAGCTCCTGGGTAGTTTTAACGTTAAGTGTTGGATCTTAATAAAATGCCAACCAATTGTAAAGTATTTCGCTTACCTACAAAAACCTTATGTCATAAGCGCACAGTCTTGTATATTAGTGTATTCTGTTTTGTTGATTTTGTCTGGAGTCGTAGAGGTTTGCCCAAAATATAAAAGAGGAAGAGAGAGAAAAAATTGAAATTTGAAACAAAATTTATCAAACATTTTAAGAACATTTTGTTTTTATTCTTTTAACAAAAATTACAGAACATCGTTTGGATATGTTTTGCATACGTGTCCAATAATTATTCAAATTATTGTTAAACTGTGGATGTTCAATTCATAAAATCTTAGTAATTAATAAACACCGATATCATATATTAATGAATATTGAATAATATTAATTATGTTTTGCTAATGTGGGAATTTAGTTATTCACATAATGCCAATTGCGTCTCGGCCTACAAAGAATACTTGTATATATATGAAAATTGCACTGCGGTGTCTGCCTTGCAGTGATCGGTGTATATGCAATAGTAACAACTATTGACACTGAAATTCCTACAAAAGAACGTCATTTGTATGTACCACATGCCAAGGACGGGCAATCTTCATCTGTCAGTTTGATATATATACAATATATATATATATATATATGTACCCTGTGTATGTACACATCTCATGGAATTCGTTAAATGTCATCGAAACAGCATGTTAATTGTATACTCTTTCGTTAAACACTTTCTGTTTATCCCAATTACGCAAAACAAGGTAACTACGAGTCGTGATTATTTACTTATGTGAATACTTTCGTGATCTTAAAAAATGTAACCATTTGACCTTGGCATTGATGTCTAGACTTCGCCGACCTTGACTTCGACCTTGACGTCGAAGTTTCAGGAAGAGGTCGTAATAACATCAACATTTTACAGACGCTTGGAAGATAACCCCAATCACCAATACGAAATTCACACATTTCTGTAGAAAAAGTAATCCAGCTTTGACCCATGAACTGTTGTAGGTGTGAGTTATTTTGATCGACTATAAACATATATAACGTGTTTTAAGGTACCACTTTCCTATCTGGCTTTTAAGTATCCACCAATTTGTCTTATAATCCCGATATAGTATCACAAAATTAGTTGGAAGATTTCCGAAAGGCTTTTGCAAAATCTATATTCTGCTAGTGTATAAGATTGGCTTATAAAATTTTATGTGATGTTTTCTAAATCCTTTTAGGTCGCTGATAACCTTCATCTCTGTTGAAATAAAAGCTATTAGATTGCATAAAGGAACTTGAAATCAAAACGTCAACACTGAATATGTTCAAAAGAATTAAATCAATACAATACATATATTGTCACACATCAAAAAGACAAACTTCCCGACAGTGAGTGCTTGCAGAAGGCTATAAAAATTGTAACAGAAATATCTGTAAGCTTTGCTACCTTGACGGGATGTAAAACCAATTTGTCCTTTAGCATGTCTTGGGAAATAACTGACGTTAACTATTTATCATTTATGTCAAATATAGAGCATTGAACATTCCAGGCGTTTCAAGTGAGCATTATCGTTCGTCTCAAAGCATACCGTGTAACATTTTCGAGTGATCTTCAAAATGTCTGTCATTAATTCCGGAACATGTGGTGTTCGTTACAGTGTTTAGCATATTAGAATTCCAGCGTGCACCGTTGACATCTGTGAAGGCAAGTCGCTTTAAAATTTCTTATTTTCCCAAGGGTGCGCAGTTGGCGGTGGCGGAGGGACGTACCAACACACTGTGTAGTTATGTCATACTCGCAATACTTTCTCACGCCTACTGAAAGTTTAATCTTAAAATTGCTTCGAAAATAAAATTAAAAATCTACCGCTTTATGGTGCTGCTATTGGCAACGGCACGAAGTACATTAGAGCTGAAATATACAAAGTTATTTTTTTCTGTAAACATTGGAATTTCGTTATCTTGACTAGGGCACTTGGTGACAAGGCATGGGGTTAATTACAGTGAATTCGGTCACGGTGCCATATTCCACCAAAAAGATTCATTGACAGAACTTTATGGGCTCATTACGTTCCGTCATTTGGCTCCCGTGTCTTTGAACCTGTTTCCTCGAATTTTAAGTTCACAAAATGTCATTATGATATTGCTTTCATCGTCTATTTATTGGTGTAAGCCTACTAAACGGTACAATATCAACTATGTATATGGATCATAGATTATGTAAGCACGTATAATGTCCTTCACTCTCCGAGAGCGCCCATGGTCTAAACCCTTATCACAAGCTACTTAACATGTATTAAGTGGCTACTTAAAACGGCCTGTCGATGATTTGCGCCTTCAGGGGTTAGGCGGGCAACGTCGGGTCACGGGTCACTAACAAATCACCAACAAGGTTCCCTAATGATCGAAGTGTTCACCGTGGCGACCCTTCGATGTATTGATATAAGCCTTGGACTTACAACCCTATGTCTTACTTACACAAAACTTTGAACCGGCGATTTTTTTTAAATGTTAAAACGATATGACTGAAGCATGTGTTGGATAAGACATGATATGCCACACGACGACAAGATGCACAATACTGTTGAATCTATTTTTTTCTGGAGATAAATGTTTGGGTTTTCTTTTCAAATTAACTGTAGACCTGCTTGTGAACATCCTATCCCACGGTATCTGATTCTTGTGTATCTTTATACTTGTAAGGATGTATAAAGATACCATTGTCCTTCGCAAGTTTCTTTCCCCCCCCTATTTTTTTATGTGAAATTAGTCACACATCTGTACCACACCGATATCTCTACGCTATATGTAAAACGCTTTGATTTTCTACAGATTGGCGATGAGCACATCCGTTCCCCTTTACGGTACAAGAAATGTACCCTAGCTATACATTTACGTATTGATAAATATTTGTACAGTCAGTGTTATGTAAATGAGTAAACGCTAATTATACATAGCTGACACTAATTACCCCGGGTCTATACCTCGCCGCGGATGACCTGCTGAGTTTACAGTGCCATTTACCGACTGAGTTACACAAAGTAATACTATAGATAGGATGTTGATACTGTTTTGTTTATTTATGAAATCAACACCTCGGAGAAAGTTATTTAAAGATCCAAATATGGACATTGTACCAGACATTTATATCGATAGCAGTACGTGTGGTATAAATCTTCGTCTTCAGAACCATCTGACACTTACAATTAATGTCTACTTTAGTAATTCGATGCACTCTTAATTGAATATGCTATCCAGTGTATCAGTTTAGTAATTCGCTTTGGACAACATCAATTAAATATCGATTGCCTCCCCTGAATGCCAGACACGCGCTCTGACGTAGAACACATGGCCCCACGTGTACTGGTATGAAGTATGGCACGAGTACTAATGCTATTTAGAGTGAATACGAGTGATACAGGTATTCCTCATCAGTTTCTGCTAAAACCAACCATTTCAAGAATGTCGTCTTGTATGTGCGTTCAGAGCACAGGGACAAGAGAAGTCAAGGTCTCGATTGGGACCTATAATTAGTTTAAGGGATAATCAGTTTTCTTTTAAAAACACATTCTATAAAAATGTCTCAAGTGAGATAGAATCTGGTCATAATAACCAATATTCCCAAGGTGCCAATATAATGTTCTTAAAATAACCCTTTTTCTGATAGAAGAAAAACAGGAAGAAGCACGGAGAGTGAAGTGATCTGCACTACAACAGATGTTTGGTGTCCATTTTTCCTTGTTTTGTTTTAATACATGCATGTCAGGTATTCGTTTCCGGTTGTTATAGATATATATACCGTGCATTAGGGTGGTACGTCACAGTGTCGGAGTTCAGAAGAGCTATACTCAGAATTCTATACCACCCACTTGTTATAGATCATCATACGAGCTGTGGCATTACAGCTGTAGTTACAATATAAATTGTTAGTTTGTCTGCCCTCATATTTTCAATTGAAATTAGACATGATGTTCCCATGAAATGTCTTCCTTTGGTAAATGCTCCTAAAGTTTTATCAAACTTTGAAGTACTGCTCCCGCTTACTTATGTCCCGGGATACATTCTAGGTAACAGATATAATAAAAATCAGCAAGTATACCGAGTATAGCTGGAACAATACAGGTTCCCTACCGATCCCAACATCTCTGTACAAGAAACCCAGAAACACTGAAAACTCAAATTTGTCCAAGATAATTTGATGCTTCATGAATGTGTGAAGTTTGATGGGAATCACTCAAGCAATTGAGGTACTAGAGTGCAGACAATGATCTTTAAAAAAATAGTATCTGTGATCTTGACTTTGAAAATAAATCTCTGAAAGGAGGCACTAGAATTGACCAATTCTGACACAATGACGGACGTAGGGTTAGAGAGGATAACCAAATGCCCTCCCATCCCCACCCCTATCCCCATCCCCACCGCCTGAGGTAGGGAACTAATTGTTAAGAAACTACAGATAACAGCAAATGTGGTGTTGTTGACATATTGCCCGGATATCCGGATATGACGTTTATGTATACAGTAGACAGGTGTGTATATCATTCACAATATCACATCATTGCTAAATGATATGTTTGTCGACCATCGCTTAAACCTGTAACCATGTTCCATAAAAACAGACACAAAATTATCTATTTAGCTTTTAACTGTTCTGTGTGAAAGAGAACCGCGGCGGAGATTCGCTTAACCTTCAGGACATGTACACGCAGTCACGTTCACACGAGAGATCTCCCTTTATATCAATAATGTTTTGTAACTGTGAAGATCAAACATTGACATTACATGCATGAACATATCAAATCAAAATAAGAATGTCTCGATATATATTTTAAAATTTGGATGTGCTTGACATGTACATGGTAAATAAATTTACAAGGAATTATACATTTATGTGTCTACTATCTGGTCTTTAATTACATATGTAGAATGACTTAAAATAGCAATTTGTACTTTTATTTTCCAGCTCGCCCCGCCCTTGAAACCACACCCCTCAACATCACGGCCAAACGAGGCTTCTCTGTCACGCTTCCTTGTAGCATCAATAATCTGGGCACACACAGGGTACGTAGATTTAGAGTTCACATGTACCTGTAGATCTAAAGGCATATATTAACGTTTATCTCCGAGTCAACAGAAATACCTAACCATTACGTATCAAGGATATTAAGAAGCTTACATGTACATATTTGTTTCCAAAAAAATACTTTAAAAAATATCACGTATCACTGAATACCTTTACATACTTTATTTATTTATTTATTTATTTATTTATTTATTTATTTATTTATTTATTTGTGTTTTCCATATATTCTTTTTATCATTGTTCTCGGAATCCAAACGATAAAACCAGATAACCTGGTGTTGCATATGAACAGCCGTTACATCTACATTTTAAATACAATTTGTATGTACTTGTATCCAGTCTTATTGTGTCTTGTTTTGTAATTGATTTTGTTAGCTAAGTTATTGTTGTATCATATATTTCCTTTATTCCATCTTTTTAACCTTTCTTCCTTTTAGATAGATGGACCAATTTACTACAACTGTTCATTGATCTGTACCTTTTTTAACCCCTGAAATCTTACCTGTAGTGTTTTACCTGTTTTTTCTTTTTTCTTTTTGTAACAAATTCCTATATCTCTATCTGAATCGAAAACATAAAATATAAAACAATGGATGAGTTGATTGACATATATGTATGTATATGAAACCATATCAAGTCTTATAAGGATTTAAAAAAAAACTTTTTTAACACGTGCTTTTATTGTTTTTACCAGTATTCGTAACTCTCCTTTTTTCTTGAAATGTTTGCCTGTATTCCTTACCTATCATTTTTCCTAGAGTTCGCCCGGTATCTTTCACCTGTACTTATACCTTTGTACTTGTATTACCTGTGAGCAGGTGATGTGGATTGTATTATTTTACCTGTGAACAAGTAATGTGGATTGTATTATTTTACCTGTGAACAAGTGATGTGGATTGTATTATTTTACCTGTGAACAAGTAATGTGGATTGTTTTATTATACCTGTAAACAAGTGATGTGGATTGTATTATTTTACCTGTGTTGTATTACCTGTGAACAAGTGATGTGGATTGTATTATTTTACCTGTGAACAAGTGATGTGGATTGTATTATTTTACCTGTGTTGTATTACCTGTGAACAAGTGATGTGGATTGTATTATTTTACCTGTGTTGTATTACCTGTGAACAAGTGATGTGGATTGTATTATTTTACCTGTGAGCAAGTGATGTGGATTGTATTATTGTACCTGTGAACAAGTGATGTGGATTGTATTATTTTACCTGTGAGCAAGTGATGTGGATTGTATTATTTTACCTGTGAGCAAGTGATGTGGATTGTATTATTGTACCTGTGTTGTATTACCTGTGAGCAAGTGATGTGGATTGTATTATTTTACCTGTGAACAAGTGATGTGGATTGTATTATTATACCTGTGAGCAGGTGACGTGTATTGTATTATTTTACCTGTGTTGTATTACCTGTGAACAAGTGATGTGGATTGTATTATTTTACCTGTGAACAAGTGATGTGGATTGTATTATTTTACCTGTGAACAAGTGATGTGGATTGTATTATTTTACCTGTGAGCAAGTGATGTGGATTGTATTATTTTACCTGTGTTGTATTACCTGTGAACAAGTGATGTGTATTGTATTATTTTACAAGTGATGTGGATTGTATGTATTGTGGTGTATTATTTATTACCTGTGAACAAGTGATGTGGATTGTATATTTTACCTGTGAACAAGTGATGTGGATTGATTTTACCTGTGAACAAGTGATGTGGATTGTATTATTTTACCTGTGAGCAGTGATGTGGATTGTATTATTTTACCTGTGAGCAAGTGATGTGGATTGTATTATTTTACCTGTGTTGTATTACCTGTGAACAAGTGATGTGTATTGTATTATTTTACCTGTGAGCAAGTGATGTGGATTGTATTATTTTACCTGTGAGCAATGATGTGGATTGTATTATTTTACCTGTGAACAAGTGATGTGGATTGTATTATTTTACCTGTGTTGTATTACCTGTGAACAAGTGATGTGGATTGTATTATTTTACCTGTGAGCAAGTGATGTGGATTGTATTATTTTACCTGTGAGCAGATGATGTGTATTGTATTATTTTACCTGTGAACAGGTGATGTGGATTGTATTATTTTACCTGTGAGCAGATGATGTGGATTGTATTATTATACCTGTGAACAAGTGATGTGGATCATATTATTTTACCTGTGAACAGGTGATGTGGATGTCCCAGTACAACGTAGCAATAACCATAGATGATAGGATTATCTTACCGGATTCGCGGTACAGTCTTGAACGAGCTTATGACAAGGATTGGGGTCTCGTCATCAACAACGTGAAGTCAACAGACGAGGGGGTTTATAGATGTGTCGTCAACTCCTTTCCAGTGCTGGAAAAACAAATCAGCCTTATCGTTCTAGGTAAGGGGAGATCACTCGCTCTAATAAATCGTTTATACAAAAGTTGTCTTTCCTTACACTTGGGACTTTAATGTTCCCAAGGCATTAACAATGGAATTATGTTTTTCATGAGCAATCTACCTTTTTAGTGCTGATGGAAATATAGAAAGAAATAAAGAGAGACAGTTAAAATGGATTTTGATGTTGCGGATAATCACATGACTTTGTGTATAACAAGTTACCGTATTTCCCTTGCAGTTTACCTTTCTAATAAACAAATATAATAGTGTCTTGTTTATGATTAAAAAAAAAAACTGCACGAAGGATGTTCTACGTTCGTAACATGAAACAATCAGATGTTATTTCTGAGCTGTTGCCCATGGCATAAAATCAGTATCAGCATATAATTCTAAGATGTTTAGATCGCTATTTCTATTTGAAAAATCTTGACTCCTTTTCTTCACATCAACCTTAAGTGTTCCTGATCAAGATGGTACTTCTATTGATCTGAACATGCATTTTAGCATGCAGTTCTATGACCACTACACAGATCTCACTTAGATATAAATAGATGTATTTCCAATCTCTCTCACTCTGTCCCTTTTCAGTTTCGCCTTCCATAGACAGCCAAATGACTAGTAACAATATGGCAGTTTCCGAAATGGATGACGTAACTCTAAGATGTCACGTGACAGGCAACCCTAAGCCGGATATCACGTGGTATCGACGAGTTTCCGGTGCTGATCACCAAGATTTAGTCAGGGAGCGTAAGTAAAACTGAATGTTGTATATAGATTGAGCTGTCTCCAATGCTAAAAGAAAGATTTGAGATGGATATGTGACACATAATACATTATTGTTTGTCGAAATTAAGAACTTCATATTTGCTTTTTTACTAAGATATCGCATAACGCATCGCTGGTTCTTTGAAATCGAAATGATTATCGTTTTTTTTTACCTACTTACAGGTCTGGAACAGACTGGAAACATTCTCAACATTCCACAAATAGATCGCCATTCCGCGGGCGAGTATATCTGCCATGCCTCGAACGGTATCGAACCCAGTGCCTCTAAAAACATCACAGTTGATGTGCTATGTACGTATGTGAAGATGAATTCTTGGAATTATTGGGTCACGAAAAAGGCTTTTTTTTCGTGAAATCTGTGTCCGGTCTTGTTTTGTCAAAAGGAAATAAACATGTTTGAATTTGAAAAAGTGAATATTTATGAAAACTCGAATGCATATCATTATTCTACGTTAAGCTATCATTCAAAATCAAGTGATCTGATATTTCTTTATAACATGGCATATTTCCGCGAAACCTTGCATTAGTGCCTGTATGCGCGTTGCGCTCTGCTCTCTAGCAACCAGTAACGTGTGTGTATATTGTGGTTAGTGCATTTTGGAAAAAGGAAAAAGAGACAAAATCGAAATTGCAGAAAGTGGCTTTCATATATGTTTTTATGTCCAAAACTTTTTTTTCTGATATCAGATGCCCCTGAAATCCAGACTATGATGAGAAATATGGGTCAGTATCTGGGACGAGACTCGACTTTAGAATGTACGGCAGAGGGAAGCCCAATTCCCGATATGAAGTGGTATATCAACGGTCAGCGATTAATCGACAGTTGGAAATTCAAAACCACCAACTACGTAGAACCACTGGACGGAGTGGTCACTTCCGCTCTCCTCATCAGAAATATTGACCGTATGGACTATACGGTTTACACGTGCGAAGCTGAAAACGCGCACGGAACAGCTTTACATAATATCACCGTCTTTCCGTTAGGTAAGTCACGTGATTTATAAGTCATGTGTCTTTATATGTCGATTACATTTAGTTACACAATATATTTTAATTAATACCTTACGATGCTATATATATATTTATGTAATTGCATTTATGAGGTTCAAATTCAGAACCTTCTGTTAAATAAAATATCACTTTTTCGAATGTGCGTTTTCGGCTAACAGAGTTATGGATGGGAATTTTAGAATACCTTTTTAATTCTGTGACAATAAAACCAACAGAATGAATGTGTACGATGATGGTACCGATGGGAAGCGGTAGCTGTGAATAAATAATAGATGGTATATACATTTGGTAATCGAAAATTTGAAAAAAGTCAGATTTGTCGAATGTCTCGGTACATTGGAACAGCTCCGTGAAGCCGATTTACCACAACGTTTGTGGTGGAGTTTTCTCCCTTGATATGGCACATATTACTCTATAATACATGCAAACAAGAGCCGTAGTGAATCACTGTGATAATACAGCATTGAGAATAAATTTGATTGAAATGATTTGTATTTTCTAAGGTTCACCCGAAATCATCATAGAACAGTCTAGCAGGGATATGATCGTAAGAGAAGGCACAGAAATTGATTTGGAATGTTTCGCCTCCGGAACACCCACTCCAACAGTGACATGGAGTAAGAACGACGGACAGACTGGTACGTTATATGACAGATATTTCACATTTATTAAAAAATTCTGTTTGATAAGTACTAGGTAGAAACCGAATATCGTCGAAATATGCCGAGATGCTCCAGTCGTGGTCAAATCATCTTCTATCCTGTATTGGAATTCTCAGTATGACGGAACAAAAACGAGGACAAAAATGGCAATATACATTTTATCAAATAGAATATCAATTTTACAGGATGTAGAATATGACTTGACAAACTCACTCTTGTTTATTTTACAGAAATAGGTCCAGGGACAGTCACATTGACCAATGTACAAGCATCAGATGCCGGAACGTACACATGTTTCGCTGAAAATCCTCTCGGGTCCGACACACTTTCTATACAGATAGATGTAGAATGTAAGTCCGACCTTTTGTCTATATCAGTAACCTGTCCAACCTGACACTCTCTGTATACTGACACAAAACTAAATGTAAATTATTGCTCAGTTGATGTTTTTTTTTCATGTAAAGCAATGCTAGTTCATACATGTATTACCCGTTACCATAATTGGAAAGCAGTCTGTAGTCTCGTTTTCAACTCAATTTCCAATACTGAATTCTACTCTTTTACCCGACAAACTGTCATGGTGACATGTATGGTTGTTCAGTGTCAACTTTTTACTTATCTAACCTTCGATTTCTATAACAATTACTTTTATTGTCTTAGTAACCTTGCCTCGTCAAACACCCTCTCTAAAGCATAAAAGCCTCCTGTCCGAACCCCCTGTCTAAATTGGCAGTACCATTTTTAGGCAATATGATTATTTAGTCTTTCGTCTTTACATTTTCTTGTCTTCAAACTGTCTCTACTATAGTAGTTGCGTTTACATTTCCAGGTCGGCCATATGAATTGAATTGAATACAGTTCAATGCTAATACCGTATTATTTTCAATTTTCGTTTTTGTAGTTAGGGACAGAAAACTCAATCTGGTTACATTACTTACAATGTTCCCACGCCGTTGACAGTTCGTGAGCTAGTAACACACAACTAACTTTGGAAAAATTACACTGCAGCAATGTCAGACAATTGTAAACACAAATACGTGTTTGTACAATGATTCTTACTAACCTACTTTCTTTCTTCCTTATTTATTTAGACTCGCCCACGGTTTCGGTACAATCTTCAGAGTATGAATTCGTCCAAGGCGAAATGGTGTCTATCAACTGTACAGTAAAGGGGCGTCCTCAACCCCAGATGTCCTGGCGAAAAGAAGACTCTTCTGAGGATTCAACAGCCGATATAACAGAGTTGAACGAAAGCACATGGATAATGACACTCCGAATAGACATTGTCACTTCGGACGACTTCGGCGGTTACCTATGTGAGGCAGTTAACTCAGCAAACAGCAGTTCCAGTTTAATCCGTAAGTATAGTGGAATTATCTCCCCTGAATTTCAGCATCTTAATTTTTTCCCAATTATTCCACGTTTTCATGTGCTTTAGTTTTACCTTAATAAATATTGTTCTAATTTTTTTATTTTTTATATCTACCTTTATTTGATTGTTTACAACAACAATGTGACGTCATGAAAATTGATAGCTAATGTTGACAGAAAACAAGTATTTGTACGAGGGATGAATTATTTTCATGCATCGGGTTAGACATTATTTCAAATTCTTTCATCATACAAAGTTTAGAGTAATAACAAAATATTGTTTTCTGAAAACGACACGTTTTAGAATTGTATCATTTTAATTGATACTTCACTAATTACAGAGCTTATAGAGTTACAAACAACGACGATAGAACAAACAATCGCGCCGACAACGCCCACGACAACCCTACCACCGACGACTCCTAAACCAGCGACGACAATCCAACCTCAAACAACGACGATAAAAAAAGACAACATTCACAACCCAGCCGAGGAGATCAAAGCGACCTCCCCTAAAAGCAACGAAATGGGAACAGGTATTGATCCTATCCGCTCACTATATCAGACAAATATATATATATATCAATCATTAGCAAATGTGGAGCATAGGAATTCAAAACAAACGAGGAAGTACTGCACATGTATATCCGATCCCTACTCAGGGGAACTACAGATGTAATGCTGATGTTTTATTTATAATCTTAATTTTTATTTTAAATCGAGATTTCGTGGCATTTACCCCCGAGGAAAGGTTCTTTAGTGTGCGACTCTTTCAATGAATCTGGAATTTAAAAAAAAATGATGGTTGATACAGTTCTCTATAATGGTAAAGCATTGTAATTTTTTTTATATTTGAGAAAACAGTGATTTAATTTCTTATTGAATTAATTTTGTTTTCAGAATCTCCCCTGGGTGGTCCGAATTCATCATCAACAACTAAGACGACAGGGAGTACAGTATTACTTGTTATTATAGCATTGGTACTCCTTTGGTGAGAATAGTGTACTCTAAGTCCACTCTTATCAATATAATCTATAAAACGTGAACTTTTGGATTCCGGAAAACACCACCACAGGCGACTGCATCAAACTAAATTCTTTCAATGAAAAACTCTTTCCATGCTTTTTGCCTGGTTCATAAATATACACATGTGTTTTATATTTAGAAATGAAGCCAACATCATTACTTTTAGATGCGTCCTGTTCGTTCGTATTATCGTTTTATCCTTGGCTTCGATACCACCCGCTATGCAGGGCGATTGAATAAAACTGGAAGATTTAATTATACATGTGTACCTCACTATTCCAACCACGGTACATATATATTGTGCCAAATATTCTAACCCTTGTCTGGTGTGAATGTTAGATGTGAGAAGGGTTTAATTCTTCATATATTAAGCAGAAAGTATGAAGCCAATATAATAGTTTAATCAGTCGTCTCGCCCAGTTGACTTTAAAAAAAACTATCATACAGAAACACTTGCTATGCATCTATCAAGGAATGTCACGTGACAAACACACTAAACATTGGAATAAACATATTTCCATCAGAACCTTTATTGCACGTGCTACATGTATACGTTTCCAGTCCGACCATAGCTTTGATATGGAAATGCTTAACAATGCAAGAAAACATGGTAAATGAAATATTAAACATGTATGATCACGTGACAGTTGTTTATTCTGAATATTTCATTGTATCGATAAATGCTTTAAAACCGATTTCAAAGATTTTACTGGAATAAATCCGTTTAAAGTGACAAGACACACTGCCCGGTATACACATGTACCACTGATCACATGTAACGAACAACTCACGGATTGGATTGAATTTAGATATTTTGTAATCCGTCATCAATATCCGTCTAAATTTATTTCAAATATTTTTTATAAAATATCAATGGCATTCGTTTGAGAAGGTGAACTATCAGTAATTTTATTTGAGTGAATTATTCATTATTCCGAAATTTCTTGCACTGCGAAAAAGGAAATTTCATTTATAATCGAAGTGTGCATGCTTCAGGAGTTTTAAACGTATGTTTATCGCTTCTCAAAAGTTACTTAGAATAAACTTCCGAGCGATATTAGTTTTAAACAACTCATTGTCATGAAAGATGTTCGTACATTAACCGAAAGTAAGCGGAGAGCTTGTATGATGGATAGTGTCACGTGATTAGGAGACAGGCTCATTTGAACTTCATTTGTGTTCGCCCTGTGTAGATGATTCTACTACTTATAAATAGTTAGGTGTAGATGTAGGAGGAGGGTCTAATTTAACACTGACTTCCGGTACAGGCAGAGAGAGGATATTGTGTACAAGTGGAACCGGAAAAGTATGGACATGATTAACTGTGTGAAAGGCAGTCCTAATGACGAAGCTCCTGAATGACACAGAATGAATGGATATGATATTACGTCGTACTTCTGAATGAAAGAGAAATAAGACAATGTCTATGATATAACTGTATTTTTTGTAAATAATTATACTTAAATATAATTGTGAGAAATTGTATGTGAAAATGGTCATTTAACGCTAACATGCTTCGATACAAATTTTTAGCTTTACCTGCAATCTAGTGTGTGCTGACATAGAGTCTGTTGTTGGGTAAAGGATTTCCACTTGTCTAATAAAAACATTATTTTCTAAAAAAAAATCGTCTTCAAACCAATGAACCCAACAGCATCAATTTTCATTTACATACATTTATGGCTTGTTAGTATTAACCAACAGCATCAATATGCTGTAATAGGAAAGGTAAAAGTAATCGACGAACGAGTTCATATCAAACACCTGAATAGTATTAATGGAAGTTGAAACAAGGGGAGCGATACAGCCCTTATGGGCTCTTGTTAAGTAATACTTTTGCAAAGCGTTTGAAATTTGAAGCTTTGTTTTTTTCCACGAGTTGTATAAGGCTTGCTCCACGTACTGTTGTTTTTTTTCTGCAGATTTATTTTACAGTCATTCTGAGTGTATGTACGGTTTCTAAATGTATATGCAAATGTATTAGTTTGTGTTTTTTAATATTAAATGTGATCGTATATATGAAATATACTATAGGTATTCAGATACACTTAAGACACAAGATTGAAAGTTTTCATTGTCCGGATAATGCGCATAAGACACATGGAAAATAATAAGATATTAGGCCCATACTCCTTCAGTTACATCATAAAGGGCTAAAAAAACAAAAACAAAAACAAACACACACACATTAAAACAAAACAAAAAAAACAAAAAACAAAAACAGAAACCAAAGAAAACGTTCCTTTTATTTGACACGCGGCTTAACAGGTATTTCAAAAGTACAAAATTATAAAAATGCGAGTTACCGTTGCTTATAAGATTGCGGTTCTTGAATTTGGTAATATCTACATTTTTATCATCATTTATTTACAACCATGTTAATGATATCATTCTTGTAGTTTGTACTAGTTTCATCAAGCATACAATTTACATAGGCACTATACAAACGCTTCTAACACCCAAGTTTGGTCTCAGACTCATTTCCGTCGTGTTGATGATTACAGAAGGTATCAGTGTGATTCAAATGTGCAAATGATTTATTTCTTTGAAAAAAAAAACCCATATTTTATTTGATTTTATCTAAACAGAGATTGTTTTCTCACACAGAATAATCATCAGAAAGCATTGCATTATTGCGATATATATTATCAGCTCTGATTATTTTTCAGAAAGTCAAAGCTGGTGAACTGAAATTATTATTAATTAAGATACCACAAGTTTATCTTAAATATGTGTAAATTAAAAACAGAGTCCTCTATCTTTCCATATATATTTATGTGTTTGAGTTGAATGGACATGAAAGGAATAAAAATTTGTTTTATATAGTCATTGTCAATGTCTTTATTTTGTTTGCATTAATTCTTTATGATGAGATAATTTTGAAACAAATACAGGGAAGAAAATAAAGCCCTTTTTTGGTCTATATGAGTTTTAAGCGCCTTTATGGAGTGTTAAATATCCGCAGTAAACTATCTTGTATTTACGTAACGGATTCTACACCATTTGTCATTTATACATGTATATAAAACTATCTACCAGATGAGTCTTTGAATTATTCATTTTATAGAAATTTATCTAAATTAAAAAAAAAATCATAATCGAAAGTCAAATTCTGTCAACCACATATATAGATTTGTTATGCAAACGTCCTGCAAAAGTAGTCATTTAAATGGTGTAAAATTTGAATGGTCGAAAATCTTAATATATATTTTTTCGGTGACATCAAAATGCAAACATTTTGCATGACGCCACGAAATTATGACGTCGCAAAGGAAACGGTTCTATGCTATGTCATATTACACATCTACCCTAACAGGAAAACGTAACTGGCGTTATCAGTCGGACAACATGGCTGTTTTTTACGATAAAATAATGTAATTGGTTACCATATTATTTCAAAATAACTGTTCTGTAGGCAGATATTTTTCCTCCATTGCATAAAGCAGAATATTGCTATGGTTATGCTCAGTTGCGATTTGCTTTGATCAATGCTTTATATATGTAGTCATTTACTACCTTCAGAACAGTATGACTAGTCCCTCTGATATCGCGGATGCCATTACAACACTGCGTTCTACTCCACTTACTTAAAATCACCATTTCCATATCAAATATTTATGTATAAGAATGAAGTAGAATTCATTTATTTGAAGACATAATTAGATATTAAATCCATCTACCGTGCGCTGAAACCCATCGTCAGTAACCCACGGCTCTTGACGCTCTCACACTGTGTATAAGCTTCAGGCCCGTGGGTTATCAACGATGGCTGAGACCGTATAAAATATGAATTTATATGTTTCCATAAATAACAAGGGAAATTATCAATAGGATTTTTCATCCATAATGAAATTTTAAGTGGTTGTTCCAAAGTGATTTGTCAGAACCATCCCAGTGACTCAGCACAGATCTAGATTTATGTATATACGCCTCTATCATTTAAATGCACATAAACCATAACTTTCCGCGTAGATTGCGTATATGCCAAGTAGTATTTCCACATTTTAATCGATCGCACTTATTAAATGAAACAAAAGGAAATAAGATACTGTAACATTGATTTTGATATTTAGATTAGTCTAGTTTAAACATATGTTTATTCAATATTCAGCTTTATCAAACATACACAAAATACATATGTGTACATTTGCGATTGGAAAACAACCTCGGAACTTATATTGATTCAAAGATATGTGTTTCTGAACTCGAATTTTAAGATTGAATCTGGCGAATAAAACTTAATTACTAAAATTCACGGATAATTATTCATTACCGAGAAAATATACAGAGCAAAAGTGCATTCCAGTTTGATACAATATTGTTTATTTTTTCATAAGTGAATGTCAAAGGCACTATAGAATTTAAAAATTGAAAATTTTCACCTGTCATTGTGTTCTTTCAAAAGTACAGAAATATAGAGTTCTATACGTGTAAATCTAAAGGCCATTGGTAAAACCAGGTTTTCCCTTAAGCATTACAGATTCAATATCTGTAGTGCTTATGTCTATATATATCACATTATGGGTCTGCTAGAATCACCTTGTCTGAATGTCTTGACGTCTGGATATCGTTCGCAAATCTTGTTCGGAAAACGTCTCCATGGTAACCATGGTGACCTACAGATTGTATAAAAGCCTTTGACCTACCATCCCAATAAAGAACATATAAATACTTTCATATTTGATCTTTTCTCCTAAATTTGAAATTTCTTACAATGTTAGATAATATATGTCCAGATCCAAAAATAATCATTTTAACCCTAGGTCCCCAAAACGTTTCATAACCAATACCTTGATATTGGGTATTTGTCATTAGTTTAAAATTCTCAGCACTGACTGAAGAAAATTCTCTATGACTGGCGTTTTATATTTCGACGTTACCCTGATACATGATAAACAAATAAGGTTGTATTCGCCGATATGATGGTACCATCAAATGACATCGCATTATATTTTAATGGCCACACGCCCGCATTGTGACGGCGTCACGGTGTTGTGTTGCTTCTTGTTTTCTTCATAGTGTCTTCGTAAGGCAAAAATGCCCAATAGAACCGACGGCACACGAACTAACCGCGAAAATTACACGAGATGATTTCCTCACGATGGACACACAAATTCAATTCGAAATGGACCTTCACAATATCTTTCGCCATTTTTTTAAGATCATGTTATTGCGCACAAACATTATGCCGGGGTTGAGAAACTCCACCGGCGAACACACGATGGCTTAGGAAGTTCTCAAGAATGGTCCGATGACTCTACGGTCAGAGCCGAATTTGAACATTTCATTTTTCGTTTGCCCATCGGAACATTGTGACGCAAGCATAAGCGCTGAACTGTTGTAGCTCTTAATATGATGTTATGTATGTAATCTGTAAAATGAAAGAAGCATTCATCTTTCATTTTCGGCAGTGTTTTCCGTCAAATGAAAGAGCCATTTCGACATTTAGCCATCGTCATTGCCAACAGTGCTGTACGTGTACATGCAGATATGGTGCTGTAATGATTAAGCGCTGGATGTCATTCATCATACCGTAAATCACAGTTATTTCTGGTCAGTTTATATCGCTGAATCGTACAACACGTCTTAAGATCATCACATTGATGTGGTACATTGCATCTCTGCGTAATGTAGAGTTATGTGCTCTTGTGAGTAGGCAGCGTTTTCTTTCCAAGTATATAAACGAAGACAGAAAGACAACACAACATACTCACTCGTTACGTTTCCCTTTCCATCACCACTCTCCTCGAAATAAACACACAATATGGGAAAAAAATTAAGACTGTTATGAATGGAGTTGCCCTTCAAGACAGACATGTCTATATTACACACTACCAAATATCATCTATACTTATTACAATATACGCTCGCGCTGTCTGGAATTTTTTTGCTGTTAAGAACTCGAACGGAAGCCAATATCAGCCAGCAAAAACGATTGAACATTTAATGTTTCATGATCTGATAATGCAGAAGGCCATTAACGCAACCAACATACAGATAATTACCTAGACAGTTTAAATAAAATTTTTCATGATACTATTGAAGGTGACTCACGTTTTAGAAAAAAAAAACATAACTATACATCAACTCATTTTTGAAGAGATGAAATGCCAGGCAATGGGGCTTCATTCAGTATTACAACCTTTCGGAATACCGTTAAAGGTAGTGATATGTATCGTTTAACTTGGATTTCGAAACTTTACAAATGTCCATAAAATCAATTGTCTCGGCTTTTCCATAAAAATATTGATACTGTCAAGACAAGGTTACGGTCTTATTGTGGTATTGCATAATATCAAATTACCATTTCTTTGGCTTGTTTTCGTGGTTTTGTTTTTGTTTTTTTTTTTTTCCTTTTTTTGTTGATTTGTTTTATTTCTATTTTTTTATCAATCTTTTTTATCAATCTTGGACATCTACTCCTGAAAAAATGCCATGGACCATGTTTCGTTTAGGTTGTTAGACTCGGACGAAGACCCGAGGGACATGGTTCGATTAGGGTGTTAGACTAGGACGGAGACCCGAGGAACATGGTTCGATTAGGGTGTTAGACTAGGACGGAGACCCGAGGAACATGGTTCGATTAGGGTGTTAGACTCGGACGGAGACGCGAGGGACATGGTTTGATTAGGGTGTTAGACTCGGACGAAGACCCGAGGGACATGGTTCGATTAAGGTGTTAGACTCGGACGAAGACCCGAGGGACATGGTTCGATTAGGGTGTTAGACTCGGACGGGGACACGAGGGACATGGTTCGATTAAGGTGTTAGACTCGGACGGGGACACGAGGGACATGGTTCGATTAAGGTGTTAGACTCGGACGGGGACACGAGGGACATGGTTCGATTAAGGTGTTAGACTCGGACGGGGACACGAGGGACATGGTTCGATTAAGGTGTTAGACCACCGAGTTAATCTCGAACGGGGACCCGAGGGACATTGGTTCGGTTACGTTGATAGTCTTCATTGTTAACCATGGACGAGGACCCGAGGTGCATTGTTCGATTACGTTGAGAGACTTCATTGTTAACCTCGGACAGGGACCCGAGGTTCGATGCTCCTTAGTCGTGGCATTTTCCGTTCCAAGGAAGTGGAGAAACAGACTAGTCTATTTTGTGATCGTGTTTACTTATGCAAGTTACATTACCCTTACTGCTCTAGGTGGCATGTGATGGTTTCCCATTTTTTTTATTATGTCAGGGAGATAGCAACAAGCTTTGGTACTCGCCTCAAAATAAGTCTGACTGCTCAAGGGGCGATAGACACAGGAAACAACCAAAACCAATTTTGTTGATAAGTTAGCCTTCAGTTTTTTTTTCCTTTTAAATTTCTGTTTTTATTTATTCAGGTTTTAGGCTAATGAATACTGTCACAAAGAGAACTGAAATAAAATATAGAAGATCCTTATCTAAAAATAACTGTTATGTACTTTTGAACGCTGAGTGTAGACGATAAACATAAAAATTTGTATTAATGGCATCTAGTTGTAAAGAAAGGCAACTTAAAAAAAATAAAATACATCTTCACTTTAAACTTTGGCTTGAAAACCTGGAACTTCAAAATTACATACTGTTATTTAACACAATGCTAGTCTGTTATTCGGAAAAGTTAATCTTTTTACATATCTAGCGATTGAAACAGTCTCTCATCCAAACATCACGAATTTGCGTTTTGCCTGCGGATAATGTTTTTAGATAAAACTGGAGCTATTTTTGTGTGTTTATTACGTGTGTATATATACATTTTTATATACATATACAAATCTATTTACATCGTGGAAAGTTTTGGCCGTCCACGCTGTCGATCAAACAGATGGCACCGAGGTGAT